TCGCTTGAGGTCCTTGTTCTGCTTCCAGGACCTGTTGTTCGTCAGCTCGGCCAGCACCAGCTCGGCGTCGTCCTCCTCGATGTCCATGTCATCGATCTCCGCGAGGAGGGCCGCCACGTCCTCTTCCTCGAGCTCGTCCGACTCGTCGGCTCCCTCGTCGTAGTCATCCTCTTCGTCCTCGACCACCTGGTAGTTGGCGTCCTCCGACCTACCTTCACACCGACCGAGGTTAGGAGGGGAAGAGGAAGACTGACAAGCACCAACATCCGAGCGAGCGCTCGGCCCTAGGTCTTCAGACGCTGCTGCTAGCATGCTGCCTGCCCCAGCTTTGCCGGGAAGCAGGCGCTCGGTGCCGGCCGATGAGTCAAGCTGGCGCAGAGCCCACTTCACGCTGCTGTAGGTCAGGTCTCCGCGAGTGAGCGTGCGCAAGTTCTGCACGCCCTGCTGGGTGAGGTTGGCCCCCTCCTCTAGGAAGAGACCCTTGAGCTTGTCGGACATCCATAAGTCATGGCCCTCCGCGTCGATGAACTCTGCTTCGCGACGACTCACGTACTGCGTGAGCGTCTCCTTGGAGTCACGGACGGCCTCGTATAATGCTTTTCGTCCTGCTCGTCGTAGCTCGTCTCCCTCGCGCTCCCCGATCATCAGGTCCATGCGACTGAGGAGCGTCTGTAACCACGAAGATGCGGTGAGCTCCTTGTCCGGGATGTCCTCGAACTTGGCCTGCATCGTCCAGTCGAAGAGCCGCATGAACTTTTCCGACCTCCTCCAGACCGCCACGTCGGTGTTGTCGTTCCAGCGCCGAATAGCTCGGCGCCATTGTCGATAGTGGGCCCAGCCAGGCCACGCCGGAGGGTCAGAAAAGTCACCTCGGCCTCCGGTCCACTGGCTTGGCCACCAGTTGCTATTCCAGCTCGAGCCCCAGTCCTGGTGCTCGTCCCACTTCTGGTCCTCCTTCACGTCGTCCTTGTCGCCGGGTGAGCGCCGCTGTCCTGAATCTCCTGCTGCTTCTCCGTTGCCCACCTCGGCTGCCTGTCTAGTTCTGCTGCTGCTCCACGGGTCGGCTCCCGTGCCGTCCCACGGGTCGGCCACCGTCGAGGCCGTCTCCTGCGGTGGCCGCTGCTGCTGTTGGCCAAAATGGCCGAGCGCCCGCACTGTCTCTTGGACTGCGGACTGTATTGCCCGAGTGAGCGTCTCCTGATCAATCGTCGCCGCCACGACCGTAGAGCCTGATGCTGCTGCCCCTGCCGTCGACCCCTCAGCTCCTCGGGCCGTCATGACAGCGAAGGTCTCCTCTCGTCCGTCGCCTCCTGGGGCGACTTGCGGCGGCTGCTGCTCACCATCCGCGGGCATCTCTCTGCCGTGGATCCCACGCTGCTCAGTGGTCAGAGCGAAGCCTGGCTCCGGGGCGCGCGAGCGCAAAGCGGCCTGGCCGTCACAGCCAGCCTCTCGCGCCCATGGCCTCCGGGCCGGACCCCGCTCCGCTACCAACTGTGGCAGCAGGAGAGGGGACAGAATGTTTTGCCTTGAGCCATATGTGGCACGGACACGCACAAGATGGATCTCTATCCATCAGTCCCCAGAGTGAAACACCAAAAGCTAAACCTATACATGAGATTATGGACCCCTGGAACACCATGCCCCAAGCAATAAAGAAGCACGCCCCGTCCACCTGCAGGAGGAGGAGGAGGAGGAGGAGGACCAGGAGGAGGGGGAGGAGGATGAGGAGGAGGAGAAGGAGGAGGAGGAGGGGGACACATCCACGGCACTGCCAGCAGGAACGCCCAAGTAAGAACGAAGGGGCTGCTCTGGCCACAGCGGGCCTCGTCCACGAGCAGGTTTCACGACCTGACCCGAGGACATCGGACATCGGACATCGGTCTGCAGTCGAGGCGCCGCGGGGGCGCTGCAGGTGGGCGGGGGGGCGCCGCCATGCATGACAATTGACGACGGTGAGACAAGGGACAAGCGAACAAGAAGAAGACAGAGACAGAGAGAGACCAACCGAGGAACGGCCCACAAACCCTCACCCGAGCATCTCCTGAGCTCAAAGCGGTTCTGACTTCAGCGCCGTGACTGCAGCGCGGAATGAGCGGGCCGACGGCACCACATCGCACGCAGTGCCTGGGGACAAATCCAAACGTACACACGCCGCTACTCCCCAGGCCTATCCCCCGGTGCGTTATGACCAGAATTTCGAAGCGAATCCAGCGATGGCGGCCAGGGCCTCCCAAGAGGCTCAGAAAAGAGGAAAACTTGGGAAGGGTAGCAGCACGAGTACCATTAGGCCGGGCATGTCCCCCTACAGACGGATTTAGGACGAAACATAAAAAATACATGAAAAATGCATGAAAGATATTCTGGGAGTGGGGGAGGGGGAAACGTGCAACCTTCGTGCCCCTACGCAACGCCCGACGACGATGCAATAATTACAATATTGGCGTTTTTCCTCGGTTTCTATCCCTGGGGGGCCGCTATCCTGAGACGAAACCAAGACAAGGGTTAATCGGAGATCTCCGCGAATCGGCGGTTCTGGAGGATGTATCGGGCGCGGCGGCCTTCCAGAGCGTTCCAGAACGCTCTGAGAGGGTTCTGGAACGCTCTGGAAGAACGTATCCCTATAGGCCCGCCTGACAAGTATCCGACGTTGCGAGTCTTTCAGCCTGGGCGTTTTTCCGCGAGATCGGTCCGCGGGGGGCCGCTATCGGACCCCGGGACCAACAAAGACGGATCCCGGAAGAAAAACTGCCCCCAGGGAAGCGGTTGGGGCCTCCGGGGCCGCGGCGGATGAAAAGAAACACATGTCGGCGGATGTTTGGGGATCGGGCCTCCCTTACAGAGCCACGAGGGCGAATCTAGGCGCCGACCCCGGGCCCAGGATGGGCCTGGCCAGGATCGGCAAGGTGGTCAGCTGGACGCCCCCCGAGATCGAGGGATCGAAATCGAGTGATCGAGGGATCGGGGAAGGATCGGGGAGCGAAAGGGATCGAGAGGGGCGGGGGGAGAGGGGGATCGATGGGGGGGCAGAGGAGCGAGGGCCGAGAGGGATCCAGAGACCAGAGGGGCGGATCGAGAGGCATCGAGAGGCATCGATGGGTTCGAGAGGGACCGAGGTGAGCGGGTGACCGAGAGGGATCGAGAGTACGCAGCCTCGATGGGCGCGCCAGGGACAAATTCAACCCTCGAGTGCTCGCCTCCTCCTGCTCCTTCTCCTCCTCCTCCTCCTCCTCCCCCTCCTCCTCCTCCTCCTCCTCCTCCTCCTCCTCCTCCTCCTCCTCCTCCTCCTCCTCCTCCTCCTCCTCCTCCTCCTCCTCCTCCTCAGTCATCGTCCTATTCCTCCTCCTCCTCCTACTCCTCCTCCTAGTCCTCCTCCTCCTCCTGTTCCTCCTCCTCATCATCATCAACATCAGCATCAGTAGCATGTTCATGATCATCAGCATCATCATCAGCAGCATCATAAGCATCAGCATCAGCATCATCATCATCAGCATCATCAGCAGGATCATCATCATCATCATCATCATCACCAGCATCATCATTAGAAACAACCTCATCATCAGCATCAGCATCAGCATCATAAGCATCATCATCATCATCATCATCATCAGCATCATCATCGTCATCATCATCCGCATCATCATCATCATGATCGTCATCCTCCTTATCATCACCCTCGCCCGCATCATCATCAGCAACATCATCATACGCATCATCATCACGAGCATCAAGATCACCGTCATCACAATCAATGAAACATGATCATCAGCATCATCATCATAACCTGCATCATGATGATCATCAGCATCATCATCATCATCATCATCATCATCATCATCATCATCATCATCATCATCATCATCATTATCATCATCATCATCATCATCATCATCATCATGACCCTGACTACTCTCTTTCCAGACCACTGCTTGCGGTGAACAGGTGAGCATCTTCAAACCAATTCTGCCCAAGATTTTTGGGGGTGGGCGGGTTCTGGGTGAACCAAAAAGACTGCAGAGCGGAAAACGGATGACGAGGTCAGGTCATTTCCGTGGGGCACAAACATGACCCTGACTACTCTCTTTCCAGACCACTGCTTGCGGTGAACAGGTGAGCATCTTCAAACCAATTCTGCCCATAGACAGGACCCCGCATACAGCACTGGAGTGGCGAATTTATTCGACGAAATATTACAAGTTAGGTATTGCAGCAGGAAAACCCCCCCGAGGCCCCAAGATTAGAAAGGGAAGGACAAGGAGGAGGGAAGAGAGGAGAAAGCTGGCCACAGTTCGTGCACACGCACGAGGCTGAGGGACGAGGCGATAGCCTTGGCTAGCACGAGGCACAGCTTCTCGGGGTAAACCTGCTTCTGGCGTGTCAAGAATCCCCCTTGTCCCGTGGGCCCGTCCAACTGATAATGTGGTTTTCCCGAGAAGCTGCAAATGCCACGGCCCTTACATTTAGCACCTTCCAATCCCCGACACTTAACGATGAACAGGTTGAGACGAGCACGAGCTCTCCAAGGCGTGCCGAAGGCGCAGTAATCAACAACATATGTCGTGCACTCGGGACGTCTCATCATGGCAGGCCGACGGTGGACAAGCCACAGGTAGCTCTGGGAAGGATTTTCCCCCCCACGCGGCAGGCCTCGCTGGATACACGCTTCTAGCAGCGCGCCGGACCGATGAGCCAGCACGCTACCTTCGGCAACTGTCCGCTGATCACGCGCATCAAAATTTGGAAGACCTGCGGGGTATTCAGGACTGCGCAGCCTGCGAGGAAGTCGTGACCACTGCGGCACCCGTCGGGCCATCGTGAACGATTGACATGGGGTACCTGACCATTCCCACGACCAGCCCTGATCGAATCCATCCAAGAAGGGTTTTGAACACATTATCATTCAGCAAATCGTGGGACGGCCCGTGGCAGATATCGACGCAAACGACGGCGATATTCCGGCCCGCCAGAGCAGCCGCCAGCCCTCCTTCCCCCCGAGAACAAGTCTAGAAAGATCCTCGGGCCGAGGGGCTGCGGCTGCGCAAGAGCTTGGCGCAGCGCTCGACGAAGGGCATGAGGCCGCGGTCCACCAGCGCCGCGATCTGACCCCTCACCGTCGCGGGGAGCTTGCCGAGCTGCAAGGACACCCGCGCGTGCTTGTCGTAGCGAGCGACGCTCCGAAAGCTGCGCCAGTGCCCCCTCTGCTGCACCTCGAGGAGCGACCGCGCTCGAACGAGGCGATCGTGGCTGGCGCCCCCGCGCCGCAGCGCGTAGAGGCTCGGCTCGACGCAAGAGACCTTCACCTGCTGCACGGCCAGCGCGAAGGACCGGTACAACTGCCTCGAGCTGACGTCGAAAAGGCGCTCTCCGCGGGCGCGCCCCGCCTGCAGCGCCTGCAGCAGCGGGATGAGTGGGCGGTGGCGGTCCAAGTCGAGGAGCACGCTCAGGTCGAACTCCTGGGTCTTGGACGGCCGTCCCAGCTCCTCCACGCGAACGCAGAAGCCCCAGAACGCGCCCTGGCCGCGCGACGTCGCGGGCGGCACCAGCTGCCCCACAGTCAGGCTGAGGAGCTCCGAGGGGCGCATGTAGGTCTCGAACATGACGATGATGGCCAGGGCGCCCACAGGGCACTCGGGCAGCATCGCCCACGCCAAGGCCAGCACGACGCCCCAGGGCAGCGGCGGGCGGCTGTGCCCCGGGCCCAGCTGGCGCCAGCCCAGCATGGCCGCATGCGCGCCGGGGAAGACCTGGCGCAGCGGGCCGCCCAACGTAGGCTGGGCCCACACCACGGCGGCCAGCAGCCGAGAGGCCAGCGCCCGCGACCACCCCTCGCCCCGCGCCCACTCCACGAAGTTGAGGAGCTGGAAGTCCCACTGCGGGCCCGACCAAGCGGGCAGCGGCCACTGATTCAGGTAGCCAGCCAGCTGCTCCAGCACGTCGCAGTAGCCCGCCTGCGTCGCCGGGCGGATCCGCTCCTGCTGCAGGCCGGTCAGCAGCGGGGCCAGCAGCAGCAGCCGCGCCCGCGTCGCCGCCCGGAGGCGCTCCAGGCGGCCCGAGCCCTGGCGGCCCCCGGGGCCAGATGGGGGTTGAGCGGGCAACCCGCCGTGCGCCACCAGGACGGATGGGCTGGCAAGCACCAAGGGCGCTCGGCCCAGCGCGACCGCTGCTCGCGAGGCCGCGGCCCGTCGGCGCGCCGGCAGAACGGCTGCTGGAGCAGCCCGGGCCCGCATCGCCCACGTCGTTGGAGTCGGACGGGACCGCAAGCAGCAACTGCGCTGGAGGCAAGCAGGCGGTGCTGGACATGGACTGCCACTTTCGCTTGGCCCCCATGCCGAGGCTGGTGAACTCGGCTCGCAGCGTCCAGGGCGTTGAGCTCCGAGGGGACCCATCGGTCGTGAAGCCTGAGCCCGACGGCGAGAGCAATGGCAGACGAGAGCCGGCACTGAAAGTTCATGGCCGGAGTCGACGACCTGCCCTTCGCGTGAGCACAAATCACCGACATGTTATCGCTCAGAAGCAGCACACGGGTGTTATGAAGGCTGCAATCTCGAGCAACATGTCGCACCGTCCAGGTCCTGGCCCGGGCCTCGAGATGGACCTGGGACCCCGGGGCCCCCCTCCAGCGGCCCGCGTAGGCCACAGCCCAGCGCCGCTCGACCAGGGCCGCCGGGACCTCAGCGAAAGAGCGAGCCCGCCCAAGTCCCAGGATGTTGGCCTCCGAAGCCTCCGAGATCTCCAGCTCCTCCTGGTGGTCCAGAGCCCGGGACCGCGGCGCCTTTGAGCTACTGACAAGACCCCGAAAGCGTGCTCGCTCACGAACACGGCCCACAGCGGCGACCTCACCAGTCTCCCAGCGCGTCGACCCAACTCCAAATCCCCAGCATGACGCGTCGTAGCCGAAGACTCGGCTCGACCACGGGCGACGCATCGAGGCACGAGCCAAGGGCAGAAGAGCCCGTATCCACCGAACTTCGCGATGAACAGATGGCCAGAGGGGCTGACGGCGAGTGTAACTCTCGTGGATGAACACATAGACCCTTTCCATGAGGCACAAGAGCTCCGGGGAAAGCGAAAACAGAGCCGTGACGTGGCCCACGAAACGCTCCAGCCCCTGCCGTGCGATAGCAGGTCGAACCTCAAGAAGATAGTCGGCAGCCAGTTTCAACCTCCAGAAACGATTAGCTTTAGGACGCCACTCCCCAGACGAGCCCACCAAAGTGAAACCTATGAAGTCATTGTCCCCCGCCTCTGAGGTCTCCAAGGTCGACGCGATCCCAAGGCCCGCGAGCTGAGACTGCATACTCTCGACGTCCGAGGTGGCAACCGACTTAGACTGGGCAATGGAAACAAAGTTGTCGATATAAAGTCCGCGAAGCGACCCAACGTCGCCAAGAGGCGGGAGCGGGACCTTATCTAGGAGCCACGGGGCCTCGGGGGAAACTTTATCGAGCTGATACTTGTTAGCGTCCTGTACAAGAGCCACGGCCCAATTCCAACCCATCGGCACCACACGAGCCCGCACGCGGGCCCAGCCCCGATTACGAGCCGCATCCGGGAGCGCGGCGACGAGGTCCGGGGACAGGTGCGCAATAGGAAGGGAGGGCAGGCCGAAACACCTGTACTGTTCAGGAAGTGTAAACTGGTGCATCGACATCGCCCCCGTGCAGCACGGGGATCACATGAGGCTCGCATTCGAGATGAGCGAGAGCCTCACCAGAGGGCAATACCACACCAGGAGGCTCGCGGAACCGAAGGTTAGGCACACGAGTGTCCCAGATCAGGCGAAGAGCACCTGACTTTTTTCGAACGAAAAACAAGCCACTTTCTTCGAGTACATCATCGCTGACTTCCACAACGCCAGCGGCCCAGAGCTCGGGAACGAACTCTCCAAAAAGTTTGGGGTTATCCCGAAGGACGGGATCAAGGAAGAGGCTGCCATCAAAGCTGTCACGGCGAGCGGCAGCCTCCTCCTCAGAAAGTAGGATTGACCGATCTTCAAGCGCAGACTGCAGGGCGGGCGGCAGGCACTCACTCAGCGCAACTCGCCCAGAGAGCCCCGCGGGAAGCGACACGTTCCCTCGCTCGAAGTTCGCCCGAGCACCGACGGCCATCGCGTCATCCGCGTAGCCGGGCCGCGTACCCTGGGGCGCCTCCCACGCTCCCAGGGCGCCCCCGCAGTCAGGCGGGGGAGCGACGACTGATCCGCACTGCCGAGCAAGGTGTCGAACGGCCGAGACCTGAGCAGAAGTCAAGGACGAAGGCGAGGTCGCCAGCGGCTCCGGAGCGCCCAGCTCGTTCAAGGCGCGGATGCCCTCGAACAGCCAGCCCTCCTGAGCACGTCGACGTCGAAGCCGCCGCCGCTGGCTCTGGGACAAGCCCAGCCCGCCGGCGCCCCCAGCACAGATCTCCGAGGCGGCCGCCAGGGAGATCGGCAGAACGTCACGCTGCCTCATCTGCTGCGAAGCTGAAAACGCCTCAGGGTGGCACCACCTGCCAGCCCTGAACCCCTCACGAAAGCCCTCGAGGAGGCGGGGCAGACCCCCCCGTGGCGGCACAAGTCAGATGGCAGCAGGCCCTCAGGCCTTCTCCTTGGGACCTTTGGGCTTCTTCTTTGGATCAGCCGTCGTCGGTCCCGTGCCTTCTCCTTTGGCCAGCGCGGCCTCCTCACGCGCCTTGCGGCGCTCCTTCAGCACGGCGGCGCGGGCCGCCAGCTCCTTCGCCACGTAGTCCTCCAGCTCAGGCATGACGATGGCGCTGCTCCTCAGATTCTTCACGCCAAGGAACAGCGAGCGCTCGCTCAGCCAGTCGTCGCCGCCCGAGCCGCCCGTGTCCACCTCTCGCAGCAGATCCTTGTAGGCGCTCTCCCACATCTGATAACGCCGGCTCAGGAGCTCGAACGTCGCCAGGCTGCAGACCTGCATCTGATCGATCGTCATGCCGACCTCCAGGAGCTGGGACAACAGCAAGTGCTCGTCCACGCCGACGTCCGTCGCCGACAGCCCCATCACAGAGCGCCACCAGTAGTGCCGTTGCACCGGGCTGTGGTTGCCCTCGTAGATCCGCTCCGCCGTGTAGTACGTCGAGCGCGGACCCTCGATCTCCCAGCTCTTCCCGAAGTCGACGGGCTTCGTGTCCTGCAGCGCGCTCGCGAATGAGCGGCGATAGCGCTGCTGGGCGTCCTGCCTGGCGGGCAGGATGCGAGAGTCGCCCTCGCCCCCCGCAGCGGGGCCTGATGGCAGCGTGCCCTCGAGCCCTCCGATCAAAACTGTGCCGTCCTTCAGCTTGAAGATACAGCGATCGTTGGACTCGAACTCGACTGATCCCAGCGAGCCGGTGAGGGGGTCACCAAGCCCCACACTGCCACGAGCCTCCATCGCGCACCACTTCGCGGCGGGCCCGGCGCCCGCGCCCACCGCGGGCGGCACAGCCGCAGGGGCCACCGCCCCGGCGGGACGCAGGCCCCGCGCGAGAGCCTCCCCCGTCTCCATGTAGTACTGCCTGTCCTGGCCGAAGCGAGTGGTCGACCAGGTAGTGAGAGAGCGCGCGCACCGTCGCGGGCGCCTGCCCGTTGGCCAGAAAACGCTTCAGGTCGTCGGCCTCGGCGAAGTCCTCCTCGAAAATGTCCCAGTCCCGGGAGACGACGACCCACTTGGAGTCGCTGGTGTGTCCTAGCAGGATCCGCCCATGCCATTCCACCGCCGCCCCGCCCGCGTCCTGATAGTAGCAGACGAGGACCCGATCGCCTGGCTTGGCCGACTCCTGGAGCCACGCCAACGTCGCCATCTTCCTCGACGAGGGACACGAACGTGTCGTTCACAACTGGCGAGGCGCCCAAGCTGCGGCGGCCGAAGCTGCAACCGACCAGCAGGCCAAGCGTGAAGGCGGTGACCGAGAAGAACGCCAGCAGCCCGAGCAAGGCCGTGAGTCCGATCCCCGCGGCGGCCTCCGAGTGGCAGTGACAGTCGCACTGGCAGACGCACTGGTTCGAACGCCCGACCAGCTCCGCCAGGAGACGGCACTCCCCGCTGACAGGCTCCGCAGCAAGCAGAGCCTCAGGCACCTCGCAGGTGCACTCGACTGGCGCGGGCCACAAGAGTGTACGCAGGAAAGCAAGCTCTCGGAGTGCAGAGAAGCTGAGGAAGAGAGCTTCCATATGGTTCTGACTTGAACCAAAAAGACTGCAGAGCGGAAAACGGATGACGAGGTCAGGTCATTTCCGTGGGGCACAAACATCATCATCATCATCATCATCATCATCATCATCATCATCATCATCATCATCATCATCATCATCATCATCATCATCATCATCATCATCATCATCATCATCATCATCATCAGCATCAGCATCAGCATCAGCATCAGCATCATCATCATCATCATCATCATCATCATCATCATCATCATCATCATCATCATCATCATCATCAGCGTCATCATCAGCAGCAGCAGCATCATTAGCATCAGTATTCTCATCAGCAGCAGCGGCAGCATCGTGCTCCTCCTCCTGCGCCTGCGCCTCCTCCTCATCATCATGCTGCAACTCCACATTATCCTTTCTCGTCCTCCTCCGCCTCTACCTCCTCCTCCTCCTCCTCCTCCCTCCTCCTCATCCCTCCTCCTCCTCCTCCTCCTCCTCCTCCTCCTCCTCCTCCTCCTCCGTCTAGTCTTCCGCCTCCTCGTCCTCTTGCTCTGGCTCCTCGCGTCCGCCTAACGTTTCTGGTCTGGCGCCCAGTCGTGCAGAGAGGGCAAGAGCGCGCGCACAAAAGTCTGAGGGCGGCGCCCCCGCCGATTCGAGGATAGCCTGAAAAAGGCGAGCGGGCTCTCGCAGCCGATTCGTTAGGGAGTGCTAAGGGCAGCCCTGAGCCCTGAAATAGGACACCACTACGCCTTCTACAATGGACCCCTGGTTACACACTGGCCCGTGGCGGTATTCGGCGGTCTTCTGGCAGTTTTCGGCGCGAAGGCTGGATGGCTGCGTTCAAAAATTATTACATGATCGAGCACCTGGATCATCACATACACTAGCCTCATGACTACTGGGTAGGGCGAAAAGGGGGAAGGAAGGGAGCTGGGGAAGCGGATCAGCCCAGGTATAGCTGGTTTGCCCGGCGCCTCTGGCGCCAGAAGCACCCGTGCATCAAGGAAAGCGCCCAGCGGCGGAGCTGCAACCCGCTGCATGCAGCAGATGTCGTCCGACCTGAGGCTGCTAGTGGTGATGAGAACTACAAACTTGAGCGACCGCTGATGGTCACAGGACGAACATAAGATGTGGGCGACGGAAAGACAGGAGTCTTACGCACGATGACGTAGCGACTTAAGCCCTCCTAAGCCCCCTAAGCCCCCTAAGCCCCCTAAGCCCCCTAAGCCCCCATAAGCCACCTAAGCACCCTAAGCACCCTAAGCCCCCTAAGCCCCCTAAGCCCCCTAAGCCACCTAAGCCCCCTAAGCCCCCTAAGCCCCCTAAGCCCCCTAAGCCCCCTGAGCCCCCAAAGGGCCGCCACCGCGGCACGCTACATTGGAAACGAGGGAGCTCAATTACGCTGCGCGTCACCCCACGCGGTCCGTTCACGCGCGAAGGCCCGCGCAGTCGACTCCGTTTTTTTCCATCGCTGATGAGTCCACCGCGAGAACACGCCCATATCCCCCGCTTCGCGGTCGTGCCCCGGGCCCTCGAGGAGCGGTGGATGTGGAGATCGATGCCGACCGATCCCCGAGTCCCTGGGACACGTCCCCATGGCAATGGGTATGGTCATATCCTGGCGACGCGGTGTGGTGCCCGTAGGGCTGAAATACCATGGCCCAGCAAGGATGAAGATCGGTCAAACGATACTGTCAACTGGTGATACGAAAAAGGTACCGATGCCGCTACTCCCCAGACCTCTGCTGAGGTGCAGAATGACTAGGACTTCGAGGTGAATCAAGCGGTGGCGACGAGGGCCTACCAGGAGGCCAAAAGAGACAAGAGTGTGAGGCAGGGATAAAGGTATGGGTGCCCTTTCCTTCTCTGGGGATTGGCTACACGTCGGTCAGAAGAAGTAGGTAAACACATGAAGCATGATAACAGATGGGTGCAGGCCCCCCCAGATAATGACAAAACATGGCAAAAAAGGTAGAACTAGGTCGGGCATGTCCTCCAATAGGCGGATGTTCGACGAAACAAATAGTCGGAAAATGCAAACAATAAAACGACATAGTAAAACAATCAATCCCATAGTATGTGTACTTCCTCCTGTAGAGGGGCACGCCCGACTTAACGCTAGACGTATATTAGGATCTGGAGATCCAGAAGTACGTGCTGTCAACGACCGACGTGCACCCCTCGGGAAGCAGTCCAGACCTCCGCGGCCGCGGGTTGGAAAAGTCACATCGGCGGAGGTCAGTGTCTCGAGGCGGCCTCCCAAATTGGGTCCGAGTAGACGGGGTCGGTGCATCACGCCGTATCGCCGATGCATCGGCGAGCATCGGAGACGTCGGCGTGGAGAAAACCGGTCTCCACATGGAGCCGCATCGCCGATACAGCGCGACCCTTCGATCCTATCTACTAGGACCACATGTTGGGCGGAAGATTTACATCCACCGACATAGTTGCAAGGAATTCCACCGCGTCAGGCAATGCCGTCAGAACCAGAAACAACATACGTACGTAAGACCCCATGTAGGGCATCCGTTGCTGATTATACACGTGTTCAAAAAGGTGCGCTGCACCATCCCTTGAATGTAACGCATCGCAAGTTTTTTGTTTTCTATAAGGGAGCCACGCGCAGCGACTGCGGAGCCCTGGGCAGGCGCGCGAGCATTGATGCTCTACGCGCCCTCTCGCAAGGAGGTTGGTCTCCGCGGGGCCCGATCAACGTTGAAAAAACCATGTTGGTGCATGGATGTATACTCCCCCGACCCCGACCCTTGGGAGGCCTGGAGAAGTGGGGGCGACAGCACTCAGAAGGAGAGGGTGCCGATTCCGCTGCACGCAGCTGGCTTCCCCAGTGTCGAGCGCGGCCACGCGTCGAGGAGAGGGCCCCAGGGCGTGGCCGAAGCCCAGTTGCATGTGTCAGCGTGGGTCACCCTGCCAGGATCGGCGCGGGGCTCGCTGACGAGATGGGACGTAGGTTTTCGGAAGTGTCCGATCGTTTTCGTTGCTTCTTGGAGGCTTTCTCGCCTCGGGATGCTTTCCAGCACCTGCGCCTCGTGGTTGGCGTTCCAGGGGTGCCGCGATCGTCCCCAACGGACGCCGGAGACCTGAGCGATGGCCCAGAAGCCAATGGAATCAGCGCGGGCGGGGCTAAGTGGATAGGGGGGTAGGTGGGTTATCAGTGGATGCCAAGGCGCTTCACACATGTCCTTACCTAGCGTACATCTGGGTGGCAAATGACCTAAGTGGCTCAGCAGGGTACCGATCCGTGCTAAGAAGGCTCCGCCTAGCGGAGGTACCTACCCCCCCCGAAGCCACTTGGAGCCTTGTACCCATGTAAAAGCTAGGCTAGGCCAAATACGATCCACCTTGGCATCCACTCAAACCCCGTCTATCCGTTTCACAACCCCCGCGACAATGCCAGTGGGGAGGCGAAAAAGATGCCGATGCCGCTCCTGGGGTACGCTCGGACCAGCCCTTCGAAGCGAGAGCCCAGCCGACGAGGGACGGGTAGCGGTAGCGGAGTTCGACTTAGAGGCCTCCTAGATAGGTTCCGAGTACATCGAGTCGGAGGATCGGCGACGTAGGCGGTGCCATCGGTGCCGTCTGCGTGGAGAAAACCAGACTCCACATCGAGCCGCATCGCCGATACATCGGTGATGCGGCGCGATCCTCCGACCCCATCTACTCGGACCCCATCTGGGAGGCCTTGAGCTCTCCTCCTGTGAAACCCCACCTTTGCCAGTCCCCTTCCGGGACGGACAGAAGGATGGGATACCAGAGAGTGGGTACGCGGACCGCCGCGGGGTTGGCTAAGTGGATAGACGGGTGATCAATGGATACCAATGCGTGGGGTGCACCCCTATCCACTCAGCAACACCCGCGGCGACTCCAATAGCAAATTAGCTCACACAATGTGGGATTCCCTGGCGCCTCCAGACGCCAGACGCGCCAATGTATCAAGGACAGCGCCCTGAGTCAGAGACGAAACCAGCTGGATGCAGCCGAATTCGTAGACCCCCCATTCCCTCTCCCCCCGTTCGTCCGGCCCGAGTGATCCTCGTCGTTCAGTTTCCAAATCATATCTCGGCGCTCCGGCGGCCTTTCGGGACGATCTGGACACCCCCCGAACGCTCTAAGCGAGGCGCACCTGCGGGAGAGCATCCTCCGGCCAGGACACTTCAAAAAACGTCTGCGAACCTCGAACCTCGAGTCTCGTCCGCTCCCGTCCGACCCGAAGATTCCCCCCCCCCCCCTCGTCCGACCCGACCCAACCCTCCGACCTGGACGCAACTGTCCGCTGGCTCGCCGCGGGACTGCACCGGAAGGCGTTCCCTGGCCAAGGCCAGCGAGGAGGCGAGGGACGGAGAGGCTAGGAGGCGCGGCAGCAGCGCGCACAGAGGCAGACATTGCAAGGCAGGGAGATGTTCGTACCCACCGCCTGGGGAACCGCCTTCCTGGGACACCACGGGACAATGGACATTGATACGAAAGGGACCCCAGCGGATCGGACACATCCACATCCAATGCCTGCCGACATCCCCAAAGATCGATACCCCGGGCGGTGGTTCTGGATACATCCCCGCCTGGGAGCCCCACGATTGGCGTGTGCGTGCTGCCGGCTGGGCCTGCGCACATGCACAGAGCCGATTCCGGATGATCAGGGCCCCGTCAGACGGGAAGTGCTGATACTGCTGAGATCACCGCGAAGGGTGCGAAATGGATGGGGGGTTCTAAGCGAATGACACCAGACATATCCGCTGATGTTTTACCGACCATCCTGTGGACCTTGGTCCTCGTGTTGAAGAGACAGCGCCCCGCGTCTCCTCCCTTTCTTCTTCTCCTCCTCCACCCCCTCCTTCCTCCTCCTCCCCCCCTCCTCCTTCCATCCCATCCTTGCCTGTTCCCTCCGTGTGTCGCTGTTTCGGCACGCCCCTCACACGCTTCGTGGCCCTAATAGGGAACTCCACCAAAGGCCCCAATGGCAGCGCCCGCATGCGCTTCCACACGCAAACTTCTGTGCACTCCGCAAACGCGCCGTGGCCCCATCGGGGGGGCCCACCGAGGGCCCCAGTGGCAGCGCCCGCATGCAGTGCCACCCTCCATTGTGGCATACCCCTCGCACGCTCCGTGGCCCCATAGGGAGCTCCACCGAGGGCGCCAGTGGCAGCGCCCGCATGCGGTGCTACTCTCAATGTCGGCACGCCCATCGCACGCTCCGTGGCCCCCTAGGGAGCTCCACCGAAGTCTCCAGTGGCAGCGCCCGCATGCGTTTTGACCCCGATGTCGGTGCACCCCTCTTACGCTTCATGACCCTATATGGAATTCGACCGAAAACCCAAGTGGCAGCGCCCGCATGCGGTTCCACCCTCCCTCCGGGGGCCCCATGTGGAGCTCCACCTGAAGCTCCAATGGCAACGCCCGCATGCGGTCTCACCCGTACTTTCGGCACACCCCTCACACGTTTCGTGGTCCTATACGGAGCTTCACCGAAGGCCCCAGTGGCTGCGCCCGCTTGCAATTCAACCCCCCATTGCAGCACACCCCTCACACGCTTCGTGGCCCCCTTGGGAGCTTCACCGAAGGCCCCAATAGCAGCGCCCGCATGCGGTTCCACCCTACACCAGCCCTCTGGGCGTAGCTGGTCTAGGGGGCTTCCTCTTCCAACTCCCTTTCTTCCCCTTCGGGGAAGGGTTTACCCCAACGTCGTGGGTATTGTGCTGGCCACCCGCGATCACTTTGCATCGCTTTGTTGGCAGGGGCGGCGGCGGTACCTACATGATATGATGGTGTTTGCTGCTGTGCGCAGGCACAAGAAATGCGGACGCCCCCCACATCAGCATCTGGACCATGCGGACGAGGAAGCATCACGTTGTTGTTCACAAGGGTGGCACACGAACCGTCCAACCGCATGTGGAGCCCGCGGCGAGCGTCGCGCACCTGGCGTCCGCTTTGGTTCCCAGTGGCTATCCATCCAGTGGCGACCCCAGGCAATGTCGAGACTCGGATGCCACTTCTTATGTGGTGAGAGGGCGAGCGGGAATGAGCTAGACGGCTTGCGTGCGGAGAGGGTGCCTTGACTCCTCGCCCTGCCCCCTCCCACATGGAACTGGACGGTGCGTTCCGCGACGCGTTGGGGCGTCCAAGATGGCCCCATATGGCTCCAAGAGGGCCTCAGGGAGATCAAGATAACCTCCAAGATGGCTCCAGATAGCGCATGATCAGTCAAGCTGGCTCCCAAGATGATCCAAAAGGCCCCAAAGCCGCCCCAAGACAGCTCCAAGTGGCCAAAGAGCTCCCCAAGGAAACCCCGAAGATTCCAAAAGCTGCGGAAAATCAATGTGTGATGCCTTCTCGCCGTTTCGCGCCCGACGGCCTTCCGACGCCTCAATACACTTCCAAGAGGGTCCACGACGGCCCCAACAGAGGCCCAAGGGAGCCTCAAGACGGCCTCAAGAGCGCCCAAAAGCGCTCCAAGATCGCCTCACGAGGGGCCCAAGAGGTGACTTTTGGGACTCCCGAGGGGGGTGCGCTAAATAAGGAACCCTCGTTTCTTTGATCGATCTCCTTGGCCTCAAGAGCGGCGGCCCTAGAGCTTCCAACAGCGCCCCGAGATGGCCCCAAGGGGCGCCCAGACGGCCCCAACAGGCCTCCAAGCGCTTCCCAAGAGACCCCCACCAGGCCCCAAAAAGGCTTCACGAGGATCCCCGAGGCACCCAGAATGCCCCCCAGGCGTTCCAACAGACCCCCCGGGGCACCCAAGACGCCAACGAGCCCCCCAGGACCGCCGAGACACCCCTAAGACGTCCCAAGGAGGCCACTAGGAAGCGCCCAAGCGATATCCCAAGAGGCCCCGACAAGCATCCAAGAGACCTCTGGCCCTTTTGTTCGCCCTCCTCTTCCTCCTCCTCCTGTTCGTCATTCCTCCGTCTCCGTCTATAATTCCTCCTCCTCCTCCTCCTCCTCCTCCGCCTCCTCCTCCTCCTCCGCCTCCTCTCCTCCTCCTCCTCCTCCTCCTCCTCCTCCTCCTCTCCTCCTCCTCCTCCTCCTCCGCCTCCTCCTCCTCTCTCCTCCTCTCTCCTCCTCCTCCTCCTTCCTCCTCCTCCTCCCTCCTCCTCCTCCTCCATCAGCATCATCCTCATCAGCATCAGCATCAGCATCATCAGATCAGCATCAGCATCAGCATCACATCAGCCAGCATCATCATCAGCATCATCATCATCATCATCATCATCATCATCATCATCATCATCATCATCATCATATCATCATCATCATCATCATCATCATCGTCGAATCATCAATCATCAATCATCCTCATGAATCATAAATCATCAATCATCAATCATCATCATCATCATCATCATCATCATCATCATCATCATCATCATCATCATCATCATCATCATCATCATCATCGGCATCATCATCATCATCATCATCATCATCATCACCATCATCACATGCATCGATATTTCCCCTACCCCCTCATCCATCCATCCAGCCTCCATGTTCTCCTTTTCCCTCCTTCGCACGGTTCAGCCGTCCACTTTGTTGCTCCCGCACTGCCGTGATCACCTCAACTCGCCTGGGCGTATTTCTGGATGGGCTGGGGGGGTACTTTTTGCTTCGCAGGCGCACGAAGCGGATCGGACGTCGAGCAGGCAGGGGCAGGCTGTGCCACCTGCGATGGGAAAAAACAAAGCAACGAGCGGCGCCCGGTGCGGAGCGAGACTCTAGCGAAGAGAAGAACAGAGAGGCGAGCAACGCCAGGCACAGGACGGGACGGGGCTCAACGCTGGCAAAATGGCGCGGACGGCATCACCGGACACTCGGATCACCCACAGCGACGATGTAGGGAAACACACGCTGCACCAGGATGGCGGCGACGGAGCGCAAGTACCCATGTAGTTTTGCGAACACGCGGTCCATGTGGGCGGCGAAACATGAACCAAGTGCCTCGCTTGCGACCACAAAAAATGCAGCATTCACCCACAAAGTAGGTGACAGACAGGGCGAGAGAACCGTCGTATAATTCCCCAGGTATGAATGTCGAGCTCGACGTCAAACACCCTTCGGCCAGACAGACATAGAGAAGCGACGGGTCAGCCTCGTGAGAGCAGCGCGATCGACGCCGAGGGACCGGCGTGGGCAACGCGAGGAGGTCTCGCCAAGCGGACGCCGAATGGCAAGTGGCCTCCAAATCCCCAGGCGTAAAACTCGCAGTCGCCGCGAGAAGTGCTGCGCGACGAAGCGAGGCAGCCCGGGCCGCCCCGCGCCCTCCAGCGGGCGGGTCGGAGGCCCCCCAGGCGGGGGCAATCGCAGGCAGATCGACTGCACATGTTGCGCACAGAGAGGGGCCACCCCTCGTCGGCAAGGAGCTGCAGAAGCAACTCGCGCTGGGCTGCCCGCGGGGCGGCTGCGCGCCGCGAAACGGGGCGCCGGGCAGTTCCCCGGGACGACGCGCGCGAGAGGCGTCTGAACGCCGCAAGCGCGAAGCCCGCGAGGGGAAAGGCTGGCAGCTGACCTCCGCGCGTTTTACTCTGAAAGCCTCGGCAGAGGAGTGCCAAAGGTGGGCCGGCAGCCGATCGCCGCAGATACTTTGATGACATCTGCAGAGGCGCGCCCGAGGCGACGCCGCCACCGCGGGCACGCAAAGAGGAAGCGGTTGCAGGAGGGGCCGCTTCCAAATCTGTCGTCGCGACGTGGCGGCCGTGGCCGGGCTCGGCGTCGTCTCGCGCGGGCGCCGGGGGGTCGCGGTGGAGCTGGCCCCGACGCAGCCGCGACTACGCAGCTTGCGCGGCGCGCCGCGGCGGGGGGGGAACGAAGGCAGGCGGGCGCATTGACGGCGGGCTGCCCGGCGATCAGCGGCAGCGCCCCAGGCCGCCGCTGCGGCCGCTGCCCCGGCGCAGCGGCGCGGCACGCCCCGGCGGGGGCGCAGCGGGGGCCGATGGATGCAGCGACAGCCGGCCATCTGGCGACCAATGGCCCATGCTGCCGCTCCTGCCGCACTTAGCTGAGCGGGGACACTTAGGCACTTAGCATGTGGATATAATTCAAGATATACATCGACATGCTGAGTTATATCATAACATATACTTCCACATGCACTTAGCAACTGGTTATAACTCGCCGAACGACTATAATAAGATGCTAAGTGTAGGTCGGCTTGGATTTGAATTAGTCTTAACTGGTTGTAAGCCCCATTGCATGTGACGTGCACTCGGTGTATATGTCGGTTGCGCGCAGTTCGATGTTCAGTTAGGTTCGGCTTAATATTTACTTAACTTTGAACTCGGTTTGACTTAGGTTTCAGCATGTTTTTTTCGCATGCTCGGGATGGCGGCTTGAGCGCAGCAGTGTCAAGATGGCGCAAGACGGCTTCAACGAAACGTTCAACGGAATTTCAAGAAAGCGCGCGCGTAACAAAAATCGCGATGTTTCCTCTTTGTTGTTGGACATGTAATGTTTTTCGCTCTTTCGGTCTTCCGACGCCCAGGCGACCGCCCAAGTTGCCCCATTGGTGGGTGCCCAAAAAATCACAAACATACTTGCCCCAGGGCCCTTCAGCGAATTTCGAACGATACGTTCTCTAAGCGCGGTTTTTGGGACGATCGAGGCCACCCCAAAAAATCGCCCACAAGGACCGCAAGACCTCCCTACATCTCGCTTGTAAAACTCGCACGCGCCTGTT